CCCCCCCCCCCCCCCCTTTTGGGTTGGGGGGGGGGATGTATGGCTTAGTATCTTTTTCTGTTGTCATTTTTCGTTTTACTACATTAAATTCCAATTTACAAATCTAGCATTTCAATCTGAGTTATGCCATTTTACCATATTGATTTTACCATAGTTGTGTCAGATTAACACTTGGCAGTATTTCATTGGTAATTAAAAAATGTTTTTGGGCCAATTATCAATGAAATGCTGCCAAGTGTTAATCTAGCACAATTATGATAAAATGAATCTGGTAATATAGCATAACTCTTTGAATTTATGCGGATGTTCAGATACCCCTGAACACTTTTACTTGAAACGTGATTTCTGGAGGGTGAAATTATTAGAGTTTATTAGTCTTTTAATTTTCTGGGAAAAGAAATACTACTTGTTCACAATCTATCAAGATGCATTTTTCTTCGGGCACCACCAGCATTCTCATTTCATCATTATGTTATATGGTTTATATTAATCAGCAATCACCGTCAGTTTTTTTTTGCATGACACTTTATGCTATCGCTCTCTGGACTCAAATTTATTCATGTTCTGTGGAATTCATTGCAGTTCCACATGGATGTAAATTCAGAAAATATGTTGGAAGAATCTGCTCAGTCCGGACTCGGCCTCAGAAATGAGAATTTATATGTTGAAAACTCTATCGTTCCCGTCGCCCCCGCAACGTGTGCTTTATGCCAAAGAGTACTTTCCTCTAATAATGAGGCTGGTGATCTCGAAGCTATCAACATATGTGGAGATTGTAAATTTTTGTTTCTGGAGGATCTCGAGACCACCACACCAGACTCGTACCAAAGGAGAACACTTGGACCAAGGAGGAGAAGGCACAACCGCTCTGAGTCAATCGAGAGTCTGTTCTCCCAACAATTTTCACAAATGCTCTCTCTGGCAAGGGAAACCCAGTCCACGGTTTTAGAGCATGATAATCAATCCTTAGATGGTACTGCAAGGTTAGTGCAGCGTACGAGTACGAGTACTACTCCTAGTGGGTCCAGTAGATGGAGGAGGGTGTTTTCTGATACTGAAAGTGATGGCTTTGATTCTTTCTATGGGGAGAGTGAATCTAACGTCAGCTTCAGGAGATACAGGCATTTCCATGGTGAGGGTGACAATAATTCTTATACCACTCATGGAGGAGACTCTGATGCCTCCATTGATGGTAACAGTCTCCTGGAGAATGAAAATTTTGCCCAACCAAATGGTGAAAGTGACCTTGAGAGTGATACTGATATAGACCCAATGCATGCTGGTCTATACCAGTGGAACTCGGAAGATCAGGAAGAAGAAGATGAAGACAGTGACTGGGAGGAAGCTGATGTTGAGTCCTCAAGAGCTAGAACTCAGCATTATGGGTCAAATGGGAGCAATGCACGCGTAAGTTGGCATAGCCAACGTTTTTCTCCTGAATTTGACGGTACATTTCGAAATAGGATTCCAGAGAGGAGACAAGCACATACTGCTGACATATTAACTAATTTTCAAGAGTTAGAGACACAAAATTATGTTGGAAATTAGTGACTGGGAGGAAGCTGATGTTGAGTCCTCAAGAGCTAGAACTCAGCATTATGGGTCAAATGGGAGCAATGCACGCGTAAGTTGGCATAGCCAACGTTTTTCTCCTGAATTTGACGGTACATTTCGAATGAGGATTCCAGAGAGGAGACAAGCACATACTGCTGACATATTAACTAATTTTCAAGAGTTAGAGACACAAAATTATGTTGGAAATGCTGGGGACTATCTTGATTCCAGAGGCTTCGAGAACCTGCTTGAACATCTCGCAGGAACTGATAGTTCAAGAAGAGGAGCACCTCGAGCAGCAATATCTGTTGTAAATAATTTGCCGCGTGTGATCATTAATGAAAACCATGACAAGCTGGATGATTTGGCATGTGCAATCTGCAAGGATTCTCTAGCTGTTGGCACTGTTGTAAACCAACTTCCCTGTTTTCACCTCTATCACTCTTCCTGTATATTGCCATGGTTGAGTGCACGGAATTCGTGCCCCCTTTGCCGATATGAGCTTCCTACTGATGACAAAGATTACGAGGACAGGAAAAGAAATGGAGAGAGTGGATTGGGGTTGCTCCATACTGAGCAGCATGCTGCTGATGAGGATAGTTCCTCAGACACTACGGATGATGATGTGGATGATGAAGTTTCTCAATTTTATGGTGATAGAGCAGATGAGGAACTAGGCGATAGAAATTATGTCACTGATAACTCTATTAGGGAAAGTCCAAGAAATAGACGGCGGTTCTTTCTTGCTGCTGCTGCTCCTATTGTCAGCATTATAGGTGTTACTCTTATGTTGTGGTTAGGGAAGCCATTAATAGATGGAAGGTGGCCAAGTAACCGCATTCTACCCGCGAGGGAGAATAGCCGAAGTAGAAGGTGGTGGTCTTTCTTCTAACTTATTCTTTAGCAACCAGATTGGGGTTAGAAATAGTGGACTCTTGGGTTTGAGCAGCTCATGGGTTCCTAGATTTCCTGCTTTTAAAGGCCTTGCATTTGACACGAATAATGGCTTGTTTAGACCGAAATCTTCATTTATTTATACATAAAAGATGTTAATAGTGCCTCATCTCCCCATGGTATTTTCCATCTTAGGATGCAGGTGAACATTAGTTGTTTATCCAAATCAACTTCTTGGAATTTCAAAAGCATATGAGCTGGAATATATATGTAATAAATTTAACTACTTGAAGTTGCAACTTGCACATGACCTTTTTTTTACTAGTCCATTATTTACATATTCTTTTGTATAGCTTCTTTTCTTTCTTTTTGGTCGGTGGAAGAGGCTCGTATAAAGTAACAATACAACGTGTTCAAGACAATAAATTAAGGATGCACATGATACTAAAGCAAAGATATAAGTATATTACAGAAGCTTTTAAATAATGAAATCTGTTGCCACTCAATGAGCTATAAATTTGAACCAGTGATCTATGCCTCCATACTCATTGTATGTGAAACTGAGAAAAACCCAGTTTGTCTTGAACTTATAACAATATCTTGGAGGTAAAAAGTCGAGACTGTACTGTCGATGTCTCCAAATATTGCAGCCGACAGTGCAGGAGATGGCCGTGGCATGGTGCCAAAACTGTACTACTTCAAAATAGTATGTTGAGATAGAGAATGATCCATCCGGTCATTGAAAAAACAGCGAAGATATGAACCCAGAATAATACAGCAGCTGCCTCCCTCCCACATCCTCTAAGACTGGCAACGGCTCCTGTGAATTTGGACATCGTTAATTCCCCTTTTTTCGTAAGTGTAATCACCAAATAGCCAGAACATTAAAACGAACAAGAACCCTAAATGAAACTAACATTAAAACGAACAAGAACCCTAAATTAAACTGGAAAAAGTAGACAGTTTAAATGAGGGAGTTGCTTTTTAAAATTAGTAAAAATCAGGTGAAAAAAGTTATTATAGTACGTTATGCGTGTGTTCGGGACAAGACAAAACGATATGATAAACAAAATTTTTGCTTTTATGAATAATATTCAGATGTGCTGTCTCTTGGACCACAATACTCAATGATATATAATAAGCAAAATTTTAGCTTCTTTTGATACGTAATGTTTAGATGTGCTGTCTATATATACATGCTTACCAGAAAGCACAGATGTGGGCATTGTGTGCTGGAGGAGGAGAACAAATCTGAACATTTTATCACCCGGAGGCAGGAAGCCAAGCTTATCAGCCAGTGTGACAATGCCAAGACCAACTGGAGGAACCAAAACTAGTCGCCCAAACACAATGGCAGCTGTTGTCCGTGCACCGAGTTTTGAACTTCCCGGTCCTGCAAGAATTGTAATCTCATCAGTCACTCTGTGTGAATGGTAACAAAGATAATTAATAATGGAGGTAAAGCAAAATCCAGATTTCTGTGCACTATGAAGGCTTATAATTGGAAATACTCAGCAAGCATTACCCAACTTACCCTCTACAAGGTTGCCTCCTAATGCCAACAATATGCAAGGAATCATTGCTTCCCTGGGAAACCGGACATTATTAGAGGATGATACAACAATTTGCACATATATAACATAAATGGTTAAGCCTATGTATCAATCCAACATAATTAACAGCTCTCGTAATTCATACGGCAGCAGCACGCCAACAAGTAATGGGAGGCAGCGCTACATGTTACATATATGGTAGTACAGATTGGACATCACGGAGCATTACTATAGCAGAAAAGACTTAAATCTAATTTACAGTATCGTTCCAATCATGTCTACCATTGCATGCCTAAATCAAATGAAGCTTAAATGTGCATTGTAATACACAATTGGAGAACCATAAAAACACAAAACAAAAGAGTAATTAAATATAACTCATTCTGGGAAAGAAATGAACATACCCAAGAATCAAGCAGCTATCAGTGAAAAAGTAGAGCGGAGCATCTGACGTGAAGATTAATTTCTTCAAAAATGGAACACATCCTATAAAGATAGCGAGGATCTGTAACAAATATTGTAGGCAGCCTATTAGTTTTATTAAGGAGGAAATTCCTAAATATAACTTGACGATTAGGCAAAGTATTTAGATGGCAATCAAGAAGTGGTGGTTATGTCTGGTCATCAGCGATACCATTTTTAGGGTCTTGCTGTTGATGGCACCTCAAAACAGAGGTTCTTGTGTAGAAAGAAGTTAGGGAACATTCCATTGTCGGTTGATTTGGTTGATTGCCAGAAATAAGTGGTTATATTTTATGAAAATACAGAAGTGGGCCATCTATATTGTGAACACGTCAACCCCCACCCCCCCGGGGCACCCCAATGCACACAGATCCTACCGAAAAGAAAAGGACATAAAGAAATATTAACCCAAAGCCCCCCATCCTGACCAACTTTTGAGATATAGTTCCGAGTAAGCACAGGTTAGTTACAAGGTACAGTAATTCAAAACTGTAACTGATAGGCTTTCTGACAATTTTATTGTACTGATGCTGCTGAAGCATATCATGTTACCTCTAATGATAAGCATTCCAAATCATGGATGTGTACTGAAATGTAGATTTTGGAATCATACACTATACAATTCATTAGTCACTAACGATGAAAATGAGTTTGTCATTTAAATGCCTATGGTATATCAACACAGAGTTCAAGAAAATGGAAATGCCACTTTCATTTGATCAAGAGTTTAACCATCGAGATAAGAGTGCAAAGAAATTGAACTTACAGAAGCAATAATAGGAGGTTGAATGATTTGCTTGAGCTTCAATTTTTCGTAGAGAAATTTCAGAAAATCTTTAATCTGCACAAGAAAACACAAATATTGCAAAATTAGAAGATTCAATATCCAAAATTCAACCACAATGGCTTGATGGGTGCTATAAACCATAGCATCCAACTACATCACCTATATAACACTCATATGTATGTCAAATTGAGTTTACATATGATAATATTTTTTGTGGTTGAATCCCCAAGCTTCAGACATCGAAAATTTCAAGTATTTCCACTTTATGAAAGGAAATATTGTAATTGACATTTACAATATCAACAAACCTGAACACAGTATATCAACACAGTGCAAACTGTTTGCAAAATAGGTTCATTCTCACCTTCTCCTTCTTTGTAACACTTGAATTAGTTGATGTAGTCTCTTCTGTGAGGAGTGGAACTTGCTCAGGGGAACTATCTTTTGCAGGGTTACTGAAGCTATTTTTAGGAGGATTCTTAACGGGAAGATTTTGTTCTTCAACGTCAAATGTGCCTTCAGGAGGAGGCGCAAGCATATTAAATACGTAGGTGTAAAGGACAATTGCACCAACCTATGAACAAAATAAATTATTGAGTAAACAGAAATACATTATGGTAAAGTATGCACATATGCTTGTGTGCTGAAATCCATAAGAGCGTGTTTTTTGGGCTTTGCAGATTTTGAATTTAAAGATTCGAAATATTCATTTATTTACAGTAACCCAAATATATAAGAGCAGAGAGTGTGAAAAGGTATAAAGGGCTGCTTTCATACTAAAAGTTAGAAATATGGTTCTCCATGATACTATAGAACTTCTCACATTAAAATTGAAATAAAGTAAAGGTGAGTTGCAGTGCCAGCAAGCATTTTCAAGTTAAAACTTACCCATTGGCCGAATGAGATGTAGGCATTTCCATCTTCAGAACATTTATCAGAGTCCCCAAAAGGGTTTGATTTATCCCGACATAAGGCAGCAATCAAGACAAGTGGCACATTCCCAATATTTCCTGAAAAAAGCAAGTTCTAGAATATTCAGGAAAACAAGAGTTATTGTGACAGGACCTATCTGTGTGTTCAAACCATTCAGTTTCAAAGTTTATTGTACTGAATACAGAGATTAGTATATAAACAAACTGAATATTCAAGTAGAGCGCAAGAACCTGAAAATAACAAGCATTATTAACCATCTCTTTTTCCAATGAAATCCTAATTCATACAACATAATAGAAAGACATCTGGTCAACTGGATGATCTGGGCTGATCCATCTCCCAATAAATGTGGACCAAAAAACACATTGTATATATAGAGGTCATGGTCTGGTTCTTTTTTATTTTTCCATTACTCTTTAAAAATATTGCTTGGTTCAATCCTTATTTCTTCCAACTATGTTCTCACCATGTTGTCAAGTCTTCTGGAACTAAACTCTTATATGCGGCTGCCTCCATCCATCGGCAATCCACTCACAACTGTCATTTGGTTTTTAGAAAACCAACGTGCGCCAACAAGAATAAGAATGAAGGGGAAAGTTCAGTCCTTGATACAAATACATCACTGGGTGATTAAATCTCTTTTGTTGCTTTTTCTTGTTTTTCCCAATTAATTTATACCTTTAAATCTCAATTCTTAATATAGTAAATACAGCATGTTGGCTGAACATATTTGTAAATTAGTTATTATTGACTTCCAAGGAACAGTTCTCAAACTGACTGTCCTAATTGTTCAGTCTTAGCAAAAACTCCCAAGCTTGACTATTGATTAAAACCATAATTGCAAGGTAAAAGTGACAGAGCACAAAGAACTGAAAATTTATGTCCAAATTTAATGCTTACCAATGCCAATATGTATAATGGTAAACTTGAAGAATGGGTATGGAGGACGGACAATCGATGCTACAATGAGACCTATAATGGATCCTGACATGGTGGCAAGAACAACATTGAAAGGAATAAACCACCTACAAAATGACAAAAATGTCAGTTGGGTTCTTAAAACTGGTTATTGTAATATAAAATGAGCAAGAGAGTTCATATGTAATGCTTACCATTGAATCATTTTCTCAAAAGTAATTGCTCGTCCAAGTTGAGAGAATATCAAACATGGGAGCAAAAGCGAGAAAACCAGCTGCATCAAGTCAAAATAATTTTTTTATCAGACTCTACACAAAGGGATTATGAAATAAAGTTGATTTCACCTGACCTAAACTATGTCCTCATAATAGCCTTCGCATAGAACTGGACAGAAATGAAGTGCAGGATTTTCCAAAAGTTTTGGCAGTTATGCGTTTCATATATACTCACATGCATAAACTACACAAAGACAGCAGTTCAATATGGCATCTTGACGTCCAAAATACACATAACAATAATAAACAACAAACTAAGCCCCTATTTGGTTCAGTTAAAAAAGTTGATTAAAATCAAAGTCAAAATCCACAGCCAATTTTAATCATTTCATGGGACCACAACTTTCATCCACACATTCATAAGCTTTTAATTTTTATCTAAACTAAACAGGGGCTAAATGTCCAATAAATTTGAGGTCGACTGCTTAAGTTCATTTTTACCATCCATTCTACCTATTACTAGATCTACTGGAAAACATCCGAGAACACGAACAAAAATTGAAAGAGTAAAACCCTAAATGTCTACATAGAAATAGTGCTTACCCCATTTAAGAGCTTCCTTCCATTAGCAGGCAAAATGTTAACATATTTGGAGGCCATGAGAAACCCCAGAAAGCACATAGTAAAAACCTTTGCTATTGGTAAAACAGCAATCTTAATAGTCCCAAGCACCGATTCACCGCCCCTTTGGGGTGTTGTCAGAACCTCCATCAGTATTCTATGCATCCCATCCATCTTTTCTAATTTAAAACCCCAAACTTCAAACTCGATCAAATTTGTTTGGCATCCGCCAAAACTGGACGGAAAAATGTTTACCCAATGTATTGCCGAGACAATAACAAAGAAGGAAACAGAAATTACTGTTTAGCCGCTCCAAAACCTACCAAAATTGGGAACCAGTCAGTTCAACAATTTTTCGAGGTTCTGAACAATCCAAATCATTAAAATCAGTATCCAGCCAAAGTAAGTTCTCCTGAGACCAAACTTCTTCTCTGGAATTTTCTCTTCTTCTGCAAAAATAAGGAAAAATAAAAATCACAATTGAAAAAACCACCGAATCTTAATCATAACGGATGACAAACGGAAAATAAACAAATAAAGTGAGCTACGAACGATTCAACCCGATGGTTGCCAGCCGTCCAATATTCAATAATTTATCACGAATCCGATTCAATTCGTTTTTTGAATCCTAGAAAAACAGCAATATAGTCGCAGGATTTTGCTATTTAATTCTACTTTCTCTCTCCTGATATACGTAACGCTATAATGCAACTCTCCAGTTCAAGAAGAGTCCTCCTTTTAAATATAATGAAAATGATTTCAATGAAAATAAAGGGAGCTACCAACGATTCAACGCGGTAGTGGCCAGCCGTCCAGTATTCAATAATCTATCAAGAATCCGATTCAATTCTTTCGTTGAATCCTAGAAAACCAGCAATATAATCGCAGGATTTTGGTATTTAATTCTACTTTCTCTCTCCCAATATACGTAACGTTGTAATGCAACTCTCCAGTTTCAAGAAGCGTCCTCCTTTTAAATATAATAACTTCAATTAAATTAGAAAAAATAAAAAACACTTTATCTGATGAATTGTCTAATTTACCCCTACTAATTACAGTAAAAAGATCCAATAATACCCGCTTGATTAGGAATGGTTCTCCGTACAACCGAAAATCACCATTTTTTTTTTTAATTTCTGGTCCGGACAGATCTCTTGCCAAGTTTCAAGTGGCTAATTGTTTAGCTCATGCCAATGGACCCCACATTTTATGGAGTCGTGATCTACTGTCCAATTTTGTTGTCTAAGCAACTTTTCGTTCAATGAATTATTAACATATCATCAATAATTAATATATCATCTCAAATTTATTATCATTAACTTCGTCATTAACAATCAAATTGATGATATATCAATAATTCATCGGATAGACAGCAAAATTGAATAGTAGTTTAGCACCAATAGTGTTTAATATCAATAGAGTGGCAACAGACTATCATCTGGTCATAAATTCTGTTAAATACAAGAATTTATGACTCATCTAATCTAATCTAATACTAATAATTTTAATATGTAGACATTCAGATTGATATTCAATACCATTGGGGTTAGATCGCGTTATTGTCTTTTAATCAAACATATTTACTCATAACTTTTATAGGATTCATAGTTACTATCGACTTATTATAAAAGCATTCTGAGGAGTTCAGACTTATAATTACTTAAATTTTAATTTAAACTAATCACTTCTTAAATATACATTCGATAGATATTTTTCTATTCAGCAGTGATTAGTCTATTCTCGGAGCTCATGTTTCCATTATGATTTTCCCATACTTAGCAGCTAAGTTCATGTCTCTATCATGACTTGACTTTTCCATGCTTTAGAGGTACAACTTTTAAGTCGGTTCAAGACTATAAATTTTTTGCTTTTCTTCTATATTGATTTTGAAAATACAAGCGTGGAAATTAAGCTCCCATTTGACCCCCATTTTGTGGTAATGAAAATGGTGAAATTATATTTTTTTGAAAAATAAATGGTTAAAAAAGAAGAATTTTTTTTTAATTCACGTGTAATATTATTTTATGTAAGATTGTGTAGTTAAAAATAAGAGAAAGAAAAATGAAATAAAAATTAATGAGGGCCAAACTGGGACTAAATTGTCATCAATTATTTTGAAATTATATGATCAAAAAATTGTACTAGTTAGATCTTTATAATTTTGTCGAATATGTATTTGTTTGATAGGGATTTTATTAATTGATTTTTTGACCGTTAGAGATAAAATGAGTCCTATTTGTGAGAGAAAAATTCAAAAATGACGGCTGAAATAGTGAAATAACGGTAAAAAAAATTGATGTTAATTAGATTAAAATCTCTACTACACATGCTCTATAACTTTTTTTTTTTAAATCATTTTTACATTTCTTTGTAGTTTATTGAAGATCATGTCATATAAAAATGTAAAAATGTGAATAAATATTGAAAATTCTATAAAGAATAATACTATTTACAGTCGTTTATTATCGCAGTCACTCTATATGGCATACGTGTGACAGTAGTGATTTATTGCATAAAGTAATAAAAAATTACTATATTAATATATTAAATCACCAACCTCCACATCCATGTCACATAAGACGATTGCGAACAGTGTGAAACTACAAATAACATTACTCTTCTATAAAGTATGTAGGTTTGAACTTTGAAACTTAGGTTGGGGAATTAATTACGGCAACACGAGTTGGTTTTCACATGCTTAGTCACCGTTCTTCCACAAACTCCTCATGACATTAAAAGTCACTTTTTTCTAATATCCCTTTTTAGAGGTAAGTTGAGTCACTATTAATGAAATTTATTTGAAAAAACATACTTTTTCGAAGTTTTTTCAAAATTTGATCAATTACAAATCTTGTTATGATATGTACATGGACGGATTTAAGGGCATACCTGGTTTATAGTCAATTTTATTTTCCTTGTAAAAAAATATTTTTTATATGTGAAAAAGTGTATTTTTTTTAACATATTAGTCCCTTTAAAAAAAATAAAAAATAAAAAAATAGACCAACTCTGATTCCGCCAATGAATATGTTCCCATAAAAGATAAATTACTACATAAAACTTAAAAGTAATTGTTGGATTAACTTTATGTTTGAAATAAAATTCAAATAATTCTTGGCAGCACCTGTACGGTGTAATTTCTGCCCGTATTCGGTCCAAAATCAATAAATTTTTGTCAAGTATTATTCTGATAAAAATTTTATCAAACATTTTCTGTACCCATAGCAGATAAAATTCACATTTAATGCAAAGTTTGAATATGAAGACGATTCATCTAATCAATTATGACTATTTGAATAATTCCCATGTCACGTCAACTTTTGAGTTTTACATTTCTTTTCTATTTTTTAATGGTCCATTATTTTGTTAGTTACAGAGAATTAAATATTATTTTTTTCATATAATATCGGAACACCTAATTTTATTTCGTCGTGAAGTTTCAGAATTTCCTATTTATTTAAGGACAAGCAATGATTTGATACAGTAATTATAGTGGAGGCCTTCATCCTACAAGGATGTTATTATCTAGGACCCAACTTTTGATTTTGGAATGTTTGAATTTTCATCCCACGATTTTTAGCTGGCCGACCTTTAAAAATTAAGCCCCTATTTGACCGATATTGAAATTGGATTTTTAGTATATTTTGATAAAAATTGATGAAATGTATGATAAGTAAAAACAATTTTTCAGAAAATATACAAAAGTAAAAAGGAAAAATTAAGCATATCTTCTTCCGTCCTTGACCCCAATCCTACTTCGTCCTCCAACGCTCGTTTGCCCCACCACCTTCTTATCTCCACCCTCTGCTCACACCAAAATTTCCCGTGCTTTCTTTTTCAGCCTGATCTATGATGATAGTTTTGAAGTGGGTAGAAGGGTGGAGAAGTTTTCTTAAAAACAAAATCTTTATTTTTTATTTTCTTCGATTTATCTTTTAATTTGAAGATTTTGGTTTTCTTAAAAGTAAATATACGTGCATTGTGTAATCATGTTTATAGGGTGATTATATTCAAACCATATTTTTGTTATTTGCACAACAATTTAATTGTCATGAAGGTTCTCAATTTTTGTTTATTTTTACACTTATGTCCCCAGCTTATCTCATTGTATTCATATCCTTGATCTTCATTAATTTAGCATATGTTGTCTATGAATTACGATTTATCCAATATTTGCTAATATGCACTGAAAGAGGGAAGATAATGTGTCAAACTTTTGTATTTGTTATTTATGCTATTTATTTAAAAATAAGAGAGACAAATAAGTCTTTTTATATATCCCTAACGATTTTTTTTAAATGGATACCATCATTGAATACAAGATTTGCCAATCAATAGAAGTTTGAGGACAAAAAAGTTGAGGACTCGTAAGTGCGAATATGAACAAAGGTTGAGAACATTTATCGTAACTGAATATAGTGATTAAGCAAAAAAAAAAAAAAAACCGTGGTATAATTATAATCCCTGTTTAAGTATTACTATAATAAATGGCTCAAATGACATAGTTTGTCCAAATTGAGTGCTCAACAAACTTAAATAATTTACAAATTTTTATTGTACCAATCTAGATCTATCTTAAAAGGACCACGCTTCTTGAACAATTCCCTGGACAACAAGGGGTTATGTGCCACCTCTCAATAGGGGATTATTCCATCTTAAAATACATTGTCCAAATTGAGCGTTCAACAAACTTAAATAATATACAATTTTTTATTGTACCAATCTTGATCTATCCTAAAAGGGCCACGCTTCTTGAACAACCCCCGGGACAACAAAGGGGTTGTGTGCCACCCCCGCAATAGGGAGTTATTCCATCTTAAAATACATTGTTATGGGACCATGATTATTTTTCCATATATCCCTAGAAATAATTATCATCGATTTAACATTAAAAAAATTATTTAAATATTGTTTTACATTTTTAAATATAATGTTTCCAACATATTATAGCAACAAGAATCATCATGATAACCAAAAAATGGCCACAAAATATACACAAAGATGAAGACAATGAAGTCATTAATTTTAAAAGAGGGCCAACATTTATTTATTCAAATTTCGTTTTCAATAAACTATTTTACACATGGGTGAAAAATCATTTTTCATTAAAGATAACATGCAAAAACAGAGATCAAATGATTTTCTTCAAATATTGATTTGAGTTAAAAATCCAAAATTACATAAATAATATCTCTATTGTATATATATTTTTTTAACAAGTAAAGCCAACCGCTCAATACTTTTCGGTTCCTATATAAGATGAACGAGGAAACAACTAAAGAAAATCTTTGCAACCTTATTCCCTACATTCTTGATAATTATTAAAAGAACCCAAATGCAAATAATAACTAAAAGATAATTAAAAACTCCTAATATAATTCGATCGACACTTCTATACCAAGGCATAAAGTGTCTATCGATAACTTCTAAAGTTCGTAACAAATCTCACATCATTAAACGAGGGGCGTACTGAAATATATTTACAGAGCAGAATTTGTGACAAAACTAAATAATACTTCACGAGCACCAAAAAAAACAAATGTAATTATTTCTCGTTCGTGTAAAATGATCCATTTCACCTTTATTACCGAGATTAACCTTGACGTAACAATCAAACTTGAATATTAAAGCAACGGTTTTCTTTTCCTCTAGTGGATAAGAAATATATATCGTGGTTTGACATTTGGGCATGGAATTCCCCAGAAAGTGCTTCAATTTCGTGATTTTGACTTTCCTTTTACGTCACATAGAAATGGCTTAATTAATTTTTCATAATTAATTGTTTTCATTATTAAGTTTATTTCTAATTGGGTCTAAATTATATTATCATAGAAGTTTTAAGAGTATTTCCATAAAATTCTCTAAATACATTATACTTTTCAGTTTGGAGAATTAACCAATGTTTAAAAATAAGTTTCAAAAGATTATGTTCTAAGTTTTTAAAATAAAGAGTGAT